CTACTCCTACTCCTACTACTCTATCCCCTCTGCCAAATGGCCTGGAGGATTTTCTTATTGCGGTTCAGGTTTTTGACTACCCCAAAAAGCAGATGTGTATTTGTTCCATAGGGGGGGGTTTACTATTAAGATGTTAACATTACTTGATTTGCTTTGGTATAGGAGGCTGTGATTCTACTTGAGGACTCAGGCCAGCACAATCTACTGGGGATTGTCTGCTCAAGCTCTGCTGCCTCATAGATCTCTCCTTGGCACCATCGCAGCATAGAAGTGATCCCATCTGAATCTCTCCAACGAGAACGCGTACAATGGGTCAGTGAACAAAGGGGTTGATGATGCAGTCCGTGACATGTGTCGCTATATATGCCGCTGCCCATCATCAAAGCAAAGCAGCTGGTGAAACGCCACTCTTGTGGGATCTTCTACGTTTATGTACGAAGGTAGGGTCGCCATCCCGTCTCCTATAAGCTGCAAATGCTCCCACGATCCGCACCACAAGGAGAAGGCTGGCAAAGAATGCAAAAAGCAAACTCAAATTGACAATGACAATGATCTTTTGTGAGCCTATGCATAAGTATCCGGGAACCACAGCACGACTATAAGCTTTTTGTGAGAGCAAGAAGGGATGGTTTGCAATGCTACAGTGGTGTGTTTTGCCACTGTGTGTCAGATTGCCGGAAATGAAAGGCTCGTTTTGCATTTGCAAGCACTTTGGCCTGGCTGCACGCTCCACGTTGGCCTTGGAGGGAAGATCAGTTGGGGCCCCATCAATGGTCCAACACCCGAACCTGACAAGTCATTGCAAACATGCGTCAATTGTGCTACAGGATTCTGTATCCCAAATGCCTCCCTTGACTGGCTCTCTGCAATGTACACGCTCCTCACTCTTTTACCTGCACTCGGCACAAAAGCAAAAGCCCGGTCACGCATTCAGCCTCTGACAAAGAGAGAAATGGCTCAAGGGAGCCAACCACCTGCATTTTTGGACAGGGACTGCAGCCCCTCAAAACAACTTCGAGAAACATCCACAACTGGTGATGTTGTTCTAACTTATCGCCCACATTGCAGAATCAAGACGCAAAGTGCTTCTGTTGCCTCATGCACACGCTAACCTTTGACCTCTCTTATTCTACACATGCAAATCTTACTCCACTCATTGTGGCTGGACTGTCACAAAGCAACACGTGACCCAAGGCAAGTGGCAGTGCTTCTGCGTAGGACTGGAGTTGTGTCTAGAGCCGGGCTGATGCATTTTGCAACTAAATTGTGATGCTTCAATTGTCCTTCGGAGGTCGTGTTGAGTTCTTCTCGTGCTGTGTAGTGTAGTTACCACAAATAACTCACAAAATCTCATTGTTGCATAGCACGGTTGAACCCAAGCATCTCTTAACCCAACCTATCGGCCGAGGCCCGTGCTCCAGCTTCATGGCCCCTGGCAGCTCGATTCGCACTTGGATGCACGGATTGGAAGATTGCCAACATGCGGCAATGCCGTTTTTTTGTGGATCTATACCCAGATGGGTGGAACCAAAACTTCAGTTACATGCTCCACATGCTGTGTCCATCTTGACCTTCTTTCCCCGAGTGCATGCGGCAGCCTTCACTAGGAGCCCTACCTACAGCACCTTTTTGGAGTCAAGCTAGCAAGGCCTCTCATAGTTGTGTTTCCAAGAGTTTTTTTGAATGCAAAGTGAGCAACAGCCAGACCCAGGATCCGAAGCGCATCCAGCAAAAACTGCTGGGAGGAGGCCAGCTTGACACGCACGAAGGCGATGAAATATCTAGACATAATTAATTAATCATAATTACATAAGTAATTGTGTACGCCCATGCATCTACAAGGGGTCGACCTCAGATCAGCATATCAGTACAGCTGCTTGCCTCCACCAAAGCTTGGGAAGCTCAGGCCACTTGTCCCAATTCTCCGTGAAGCTTATGGCAGAATACATGAAGGCCTGTCACAGGTCAGGATCAGTAGGACATCGCGGGTCATTTCAACCTCTGCTGCCCCTTCAGGATTCTCAGCACCCTTCAAACTCAATACAAAAGCGTTCGCTGCGCAACCAGCAAGTCTGCATCTTTTGTCTCAGGGGGTCGTTCAATGAGCATTCAACCAAATGACCGTAGGGCTCATGACGCTTGTGATAGCTGCTAGCGGAGCGAAGCCAAGGAAATCTTCCATGGGAACAAAGGCGCATTTATCTTCAAAGAAGCTTCAAGTCGAACTTCCTCGAGTGGCATTGTCGGAAGCTAACAGTTGTCACAAATCAATGGCCGACAAAATTGGTGGGATTCGGCAGAAGATTTCATCCAAGCGATTTCACCCAAGCAAGCAAAAAATACGTCTGGCGCGCTTCCACCGTAACCGTAATCGTAACCAGCTTTTAACCTTTCTAACATGGTTTTTGGCATGAATATCATGAATGGCTTTGGGTTTGTCACTAGCTAGCAGCCTTGTCCAGAGCTGGGTCATGCGTGCGAGATCGCCCACATTAGCGTACTGGGCCGGTGCCGCTGCTGACTCAAATCAAAGGCATAGTCGGCATAGTTTTAATGGAGCCTCATGCAGAATGCACGATACTGGCAAGCCAATTCATTGAAATGTGCCTGTCGAAGCACCACCCAGTGAATTTACCCAAGGAGTTCAGCCGTGGTCATGGCTTCAGCCACAGTTTCCTGGACTTTGTAAGAGATGTTCATGTTTTTTGATAGATGTTGATGTTGCATAATTATGCAAAATTACAATCAATACAATGCCTGAGGCAATCTAAAGGGTGCCATCATTCCAAGTCATTGCCACCCCAGGTCAGGTGTGAAAGAACTTGACTGCCGGTAAGAGCATGAACAACAGGGTATGGGTAGACTTGCAGAATGCATGCATGAGCTGGCCATGAACAAGTCCGCAACTCCTCCCATTTGTGGATCGGGTTTTCGAATTACATGCTTAGTGGCTACAACTGGCCCAGCAGGGGCAGTCAAGAGCCAACCTTGAACTGTTCTGTTCAGCAAACTGGTGCCAGAGGCACTCGCATTAGAATGTGCATTAGTTGCTTGGCAAAATTAAAGCGCCATCATAGCGTCCCAGTTCACTCCTTTGACTCAAAAAACAGGCATACTGCGCATGCTGACTGAGCTGTCCATCACATTGGGGACTCAGCTGTGGTGGCTTGCGACTCGAAGCTTCGTAAGACCTCGCTCCTACGGATTGCCAGGAGCTTGGCCATTTAAAGGACGACTGGATCTCTTCGGTTTGCAATGTCTGTAGAGCCGAACAGCTCTCCATGCTCGTTTTCATTAGCAGTCAAAATTGATGGAATTGAGAGCCAAGCGAAGGAATTGACTACATGTGCAGGCAGAATAAACTGCCGCCCTACAATTAAAAGACCTTTTACAGCAAAAGGACCTACATAAAAGTGCTCCCCAGTCCTTTGCGACTCGCTGTCTGGTGAACCTGAGGTCTGGCTCCAAATGCATCGGGCACCAAAAGGTGTCGCCTGCAGGCAGAAACAAACAAATGCAGTACAAATCCAAAGACTTGTAGATCTTTGTAGACCTGCTCGCGTGGGTGTCCCTACAACCCCCGGGCACCTGTCTCTCGTGCTTGTGAAGCATCTGATCCACCATGTCAGCGGTCCCTTCGGTTCCGTCCTTCGGCAAATGTGTGGCCATGCGGGCTTAACTTGATGTAACGGGACACTTGTCGCTGAACACTCGTCACCGGAATACTTATTTAAATGACTTTTAATGGTCCAGTGTGCCCAGCATCTAGCTGGTCAACTGAGAATATAAATATATATATTATATAACTATAAGTTGCTGCCGGTACCCTCAGTCGCCTGGTGGTTTCGTGCTGTTGTTTCTTGTGATTCTGCTTTGTTTGTCTTGATATCCATCAAACAACTTGTCGTTGATATCATAAGATTGTCATCGATGTCATTGGTGTCATGGCTCGTCACCACCATACGCCTTTGTCGTTTTCGAGCACTTCGTGTAAATTTGTGTTGTATTTTGCCGTGTTTCCAAATACCCGCAGGCCAACTGGGAAGAAAATGATGGAAAATTCTGTACGGTATTGATGCACACACGCGCATTTGGGGAAGGAGATGGGTGGGGGGGGTTTTAATGACCCTAGTTTGGATGTACTTCGACTATGACGCCACCATACGCCACCTGCACAGACACGCTAAGTCTAAGAAAGCGGTTGACTCTGATGTGAATCCAGCTTGAAATTCTACCAGGGTGCACCAGCACTTACATATACAGAGGAAATCACAGGAAAGAATCACAACCTAATGAGTGCACTTGGAAAGCTAGCATCTGAGTGATGAAAAAGAATAACATAGAATAACTCTGGCGCGCGGATTTTTTCGCATTGTGGGACATGTGCATGTGCGGAATACTTACTAGGGGAAATCTTACACGCGAAACGAAAATTACTAGGCGAATTGGGGCGCCCTGGGCCGTGACCACAAAGTAAATTCAAACAATTCGGAGTGCGGCACACTTCAAATTGACCAACGGCAGTTTCCGTGTACAGAACTCCTGACTGGTGTGAAAAGGCTCGAACGCACCCACTCTGACGCGGTCTTTGTGAACGGCTCATAATAAATACATCAAAGTCTGACCATCCACCGGCGTTCTTTTGAACCAAAGAGGTCGGGGTTTGAGAGTGCATGCATCTGTGGACAGTCAAGGCATGTCCTCCAACCGCACCCACTACTCGCATGTCTTCACTGCATTGCATGGCTGCAGCTTGATGTCAACACAAATCTGAACATGTCCGTGCCGGCATGATGGAGACCACTTACAACCGCCGCCATTAAAAAGAAACGGAACCCACGAACCCGAATGCACACACGCACTCAATGTTGCCACTCTTGTGGGACTCTTGTGTGGGACGCTCTTGTAGGGCACTCTTGTGGGACACTCTTGCCGGAATTCTTGCAGAGCACTCTTGCAGGACACTTTTGTAGGCCAGTCTCTTGTGGGACCCTCTTGTGGGACACTCTTGTACACCTCCAAGAACTCCCTTCACCAGCGAAACGCCGCATTTACACACGCATGTTCTTCTTGTCCAGTGGCACGGAGCCATTCAACGCACTTTCCACCAAGGCCGTGCCAAACCACATGGCACACCAACATCAAAGACGTACTGTAATTTCACCCGCCCACACGCCAATCCCAATGTCACAGCGACATTCACCTCCACCAAAAGTCTCAACCTCACGACCCCCAGCCTGCCACAAAAATTCAACTTCCACACCGCCAGCACGCACAAAGCACCGTGCCTGCCACAAAAGTGACGACGTGACATGTTCATGTCTTCAGCAAATTTTGCACCGCGCCACGACATTTTTGGTATGGTTTCAGCCCTTTCGGCGCAAGAAAACTATTTCAGCTAAGACTTGCCAAGAAGCACAGCTTCGAGGCAACAGCCTCAAACGCAAGTCTGAGTGGCACAGCGACATCCAAAAACTCCAACCGACCACCCTGCGAACGCCAATCTCAATGGCGCAGCGGAGCGAAGGAAACTGAGGATCTCACGAAACGCTGCACCTGCGCAGCAAAATCATCCTCCACACTTCCTACGCTATTTCATGCTATTTCACACGAATCTGGCCCTGGCACTTGACGCTTCCATCCAAAACCTCCAAAAGCTTCCCCCAATGGCCATGCCTTATCGATCACATTCCAACGGTTTGCGGACGGTTGCAAACGAAAGCAACGTCACGCGAACAATGCTCTACCCTCGCCCTCACACTCCAGTTGAACGAGAACCCTTACAGGCTCGTTGAAAAATCAAAAACTGCGGCACCGAATTGGCCTCATCGGGGTCTTCCGGCTGCATCTTCTCGTCTTGTTTGTCCTAGACGGCGTGACGACAGCACAGCGAGACATGGACCTGGAGCAACCCCCGCAAATTACATAATGTGCTGGGCACACGGCAACCTCCACGTTGAGTGTCTTCGAGACCTTGACACTGAGTGGGAGTCCAATGCGAGCTCAAATTGTCGTCTTGCTGTGCTTGTTGGTCGGGTCTGTTCTGGGCATAGTTCATACACGTTGTGATTAGGAGAAAGTTGCGTCGGCCTGTTGGAGTTTGCTATTGAACCAGCCGCTATTGTTGCTTTGCCTCGCTTTTTTGTAGTTGCTGGGTGGGCCTCGAGTATTTGCAAAGTAAGAGGATGCCTGGTCCATGCATCATACACCCATTCTCAGGCTTTAAGCCCATTTGACGTTGCTAATATGTAAATATATATATATTATGTATGTGTTCAGTATATTATATATATTATGTATGAGCGACATGCAAAACCCCTTGTGTGTTGTAGTGCGCCCAACGATGTCATGTTTTTCTGTGAACCTTATCATTCCTGAGGGTTTGGACACACCTAACATCATGCACTGAAACCTTATCGTTTTTCTTGTGAACCTTATCGTTCCTGAGGTTTCCCTAATTTTACTTACTTTGTCTTCACTGTTGTGATGCTGCCTTCATCGAAGGTTTTGGCAGTTGCTCATGTGTTTATTATATGTGTATGTATATATATATAGTTATATATATATATATATATCTGTGTGTGTGTTGTGTGCATTCCAGATGTTTCGTCCCTGGTGGGGCGGTGGGGCAATGTGAGTTCCTCTGGGTCGCTGCTACCACCAAAAATACCCAGACCTTGTCTTCCTCTTCATTACACAAATGAATATGATCCCAGGTGTCCTCCTGACAGGAAAAGTCCAAGTAATGTCAGCACGATCTCATTTTTTGACGTAATCATGCAATCAACATGATCGAGTCGACGATTGCCGTCCAATTTCTTATTTACCGCCCATGTCCTGGGTCACTCGACGGGTCTTCCCGAGTAAGACCGCAGGAGCAGCCGGACATCCTGCAAACTGTTCCTCCTCCGGTGCTTCTGAAGCACCGTCTGCTTCAAGCACTGGCGTCGCTTCCTTCTCCTGGAATCCATGGCCTTGCCGAACTTCCATCACAGAATCCCTCCATCTTTGGTGCAGCTGGCCTCAGTTGTACCGACATTAAGCTCTTGGTAGCTCTTGTGTCTCTTGTCGAACCCTACCTGGTTACCTAGTACCAATTCAAAAGAACAAGGTAATTACTCTGCATTGTCATTATCCGAGGGACATAGATCACTTGCAAAATGCAGATCTTCTTCCACTGCCTGTAGTCGCTGTTCGGCTTTCTCACGCGCTTCTCTCCTAAGTGCTTTCATGGAATGCGATGGACGGTCCTCAAGAGCTACGCTGCGCTATATAATATAGTTTTAGAAAGACTATCATCTCAAAACGGGGTTGCAATTCATGCTCATCTCTGGCTATTCACTACGGTAGGTTTGCGTTTCTTCTTCGCATCGTTACTTGCAGCCACAGCTTCTCCACCAAAGACAACTGTTGAGTCATCAAGCGCCGTGTCAGCACAGCCGCCCTGATCCTTGCTAGCCGACATTCATTCCAATCATCTGTCTGCTTCATATCAGCACCTTGAGGACTTGAAGTCAGAAAGGTAGATTAGGGGGAGAGGTTTCATGGGGCATGTGTTCAGTGCTACAGGAATGTTAGCGCAGAACTTCCAGGGGCCCTGGCGAAAGCCAGCTTCATTTTGCTCCAGCATCTTCTCCAAACAGCGACGCACTTCCAAGTTCTTGGTCAGCTGGGGCCCACTTGTTTCCATGGCTTCGCCTTGGGGGCGGCGAGCTCACTGGCAAGACCTGCAATGAATGTTACAAAGGAAGTATAAAATGTCAGCAAAGACATTTCAGCTAATTTCAGCTCAGCTACCAAATATCTCGAAAATCTGCCGCACAGTCTCGTCGAACTCTGCTACCGACGGCCGAACGATGCACCGATTGTGGCTTGGTGCCATGGCGAGTAAACGGGCTCTTGTTTCTATGGGTCTGTTTCTGAGCCCTACTACTGAGGCAGCACGAAAATAGCCTAACAGCAGCATCTACAGACTTGTAGCTGCAGAATCTCCAGTAGGATTCGGATAAATGGGTGCTTTCAAGGGATGTTTCCAGCACTCTAGGTGAATCTGTGCTTATGCTCCAACACCTCCAAATTGCTCTTTTTGCCTTCAGAAAATGGGACATCATGGTGGACTAGAATTAGAACAAATGGCCGAACACTGCTGGTGGTTTGGAGATGCTGCATCGAGGGACATTCCCACATCAGGATCACTGTTTTCTGCCCACACGTTTTGAGTGCTCCCCAAAGGCGGCCTTACGAGTCGATTAGAGTGCACCTCCAAAGTTGGCGGATCAAAGAAGCTTTCTGACTCCCAATGCAGCCAACATCTGCACCACCGTTTAGGGCTGCATTGGCACTGAGCACCACATGTTGCAGGTAGCACCAGCTGAGGGAAAGACCGACGGCAGAACCAGTATCCAGCCCAATCACCTTGTCCTGTGACGTCTTAAAGAAGGCAGAAGAGTTTGATGAAGCAGTTTGCAGCCCATGAAAGTACCTTTCTGAAAGTGATGGTCAGTCCTTCGCAGCAAGGACGCCCTTCTGCATAGCAAACCTGAGGTGCATTCGCCACATGCATGCCCTCAGCACATTCCGAAATACTGTAACCTTTTCGTCCTCACAGGTTTGTGAAGGCCACAATGGGCTCTGCTTAGCAAGGCCTTGAGGCACAAGCATGCTTGCACCCGTCACATAGCCGCAACTGCTGCAAAGGGTTCAAGATCCCTGGACAGACCTGCAAAAAAGTAGCCATTTCACGCTTAAACAGGCGTTGAGCAGGTGTTCTTCACACAATGGGTGACAGATGCCAAACCTCCATGCTCCAGCATCTGACCTGTAATCACACCGAACCGTCCAAAGACGCACTTCACGTTCATATCAGGCAAATGCGGGTCTTTTTGGTAAGCTGCTGAGATACCCTAGTCTGAAATGTGATCTTCCTTTGACTTGTCACTTGTCTGCCTTCTTTTCTTATTTTCTGCTTTGCTTGACTTATCTTGTGCTTCAAACATTTTATACATATAGAGAGTCTATAGACAGAGAGAGAGAGAGAGAGCGAGAGAGAGAGAGACCTCTCTATGTCCTCCTGTTTTTTGCCGTTCTTTTTTGACCTTTTTTGGCTAGCTTCATGGCCAAATGCAATTTTCATCGGGGTTGGGGCCTGATAAGTCCATGTGCTGCCTGTGCATCAAGGTAAGGCTCGGGCATAGGAGCCATGAAACCGCAAAGGGAGCGGGAGCAGCCTGAACAAAGGGGTTGAGCAACGGCGTATATATGTATATATATTATATATATATGTATACATATATATATATAATATGATTACATTTATATATAATATATATATATACACACAACATCAAATATAATCAAATCATACCATACACATTGATAGTGACAGTGGCCGAGAAATTGGATGCAACTTTACGCTCACAACCTTTTGAATGATTTTGCAGGCCTAGTCTCTGCAGCATCCAAATTTCCCTCACCAGCGATGGCCAACCTCAGAGGGAGATTCTTCAAGCATCTACAAGTACATCACACTCCCCGACACCACGCCCGAAGGCAACAATTGCAGAAATGCATGGTGGTTGTTTGGTTTGTGCCACAGACCGGTTGTCACATGTTCTAAGATTCTTGCAAAGTGCTCTCCGAGGCTTGGGGCCTGGGATTAAATTGGCCAGTCACGGACAGTCGGACACTCTTCGTAGCACTTGGAACTTCAAACATCTTCAAACCCAAGGCTTTCGAGCTACCCTGAGGTTGCTCCAGTTAGTTATCCATGGCTTTCGAGTGATTCAAGGCCTGCGACGGAGAGGACAACGGAAGCGGTGTTCCCGAACCTTGGAGTGTTGAAATTCAATTGGCTGCTGTCAATCGATGTTTGACCCCTCTCCAGACCTCTCTACCCATCAAACCAATTGAGCAAGTCTGAGGCCGACACCCATCTGAAGGTGATGTTAATCCGTTCCTTGAACATGCAATCTTGTTCCTAGTAGCGTCCTTGTTCCTAGTAGCGATGCCAGGAGCCCCTAGTA